GTAGATAGATCTTTGAATAGAATTCTCAGGTCTCATCTGAAGTTTGACGTTAAGAAAATGGAACGTTGAGTTCGATTCAGCTTCCAGTATAAATCCCAATGAGGGGTGACTGTCGCTGAAATTTGAAAGCGCATACTTTTAAGGAACTTCAGGTTCGAAGGTGATATTGTCACGGATATCCTTCGTCAGCATTTGTCAAAGTACTTACGTAGAACATTTTATGCTATAAACCTCTTAGTTTTTTCTTATATCAACAGCAGCTTCGTTAGTGCGTCAGAGACAAAATGACGCGTTGAACTTCATCAATAAGTATTAAGGATTTTCATTGTTCCTTTGAAGTTGATTATGCCAGCGGCAACATTACGCAGACTGGCGGCTGATGGCTGACAGCCACCTTTGAACACCTCGTAGACTCTGGACGTCTGTCTCCTTTGGAAACCTCGTTCAAATTTCTCTGCTAGTTTGACTAAACTGATCAGAGGGAGTGAGCATTAGACAATTACGTACAGCCAATGTTTTGAAACCTCACAGTTTCAAACTTCATCTGTGTATTCGAAAAAACAAGTACAAACACTCTACAGTGGCCTTCATCGGAAACTCAGTCCCTCTGTTACGTTTCAGTGTTTTATTTATTTCTGTAGAAACGTATTTATGTTAATTTATTTCTACCCGATGTTAAATCTTAGACTTCAATGCATTGTATAATAAAATACTTAAATCATGTCTTGTGTTACATAATATCAACTCATCCCCTATATACGTCCGTCGACTAATTTTGACCTTCGACCGGAAAACTGTCCAGAACACCAGATCATTCTAACTTATATATTCACGAATCTGCGGCTATGAAAATCAGTCTTCGAAAAGATAATTATGTCCACTCTAATGTTTTGTTTTTCAATGGCCAAATTGGGATTTCTCGTTATTCTCTCATTTTCTTCACTCAAAGACTAATTTGTTGCTATGAAACAGGTTCAGTCTCGTTTTTTGTCGAACCGAAATATTTAGTCTTCATTCCCTTCTCACCAATCCTTTTTAAAAGCGAGGAAATTTTGCTTTTTGATTTGTTGAAGACAATGGTGCGAAAATATTTATCTATTCCTTCAGTGTAATGTTTGTAGCCATATTATGCTCTATTACATAAATTCAACTATTACAATGAAACCTCAGATAACCGCATTTTGGCAGACCGATGCCACTGAAAGCAGGGTATGATTGAAGGTCATGGTAGGACTAGAATTGGCAGCCTCCACCCCACCGGCTTGGTGCTTCCCCGAATGAACTAAAAGCCTAAGCCGTTGACCAGATCTTAAATTCATTTCAATCACTAAGAGTTTTGCAAGCTTGTCATATAAATGCGTGATGCGTCATTGTTCGTTCTTCGTTATCACGCTAGTTGCCAAGACAGGTTTTGTCTTTCTATTCAAAAATGAGCGACACTAAGAAGAAGCGTCGAACTGATTGTCACCTATACTATCTGTGTCCTGATTTTTCTCCGTAGTATAAGACTAACGAAAACTAGAAATACGGGTACTGTGAAAGTAATTTTATTCTGACTATAAAACGTTTTATTGGATGAAGTTAATTAGCAAAATTATAAGTAGTAGCTGTGGTCTCTAGATGTATTGCTTGGTGATGGTTTCAAAAACATGTTGAAACATTTCCTACTTCTTTCAATGCTATCTTATTTTAGCATGCCAAGAGGGTACTGACTAGCTGAGATGGAACAGAAATGACATAGCATCTTTTGCCATAGTCTGGGATTAGAATTGCTGAAGTAGCATTTATATGTATCATAGAGAAGATACCTTTTAAAAATTAATAAGCATTTCTCACTACAAAGTAGAAATAATATATGGAATGATACCAGGTGTTTGGAACTAGCAGATGATTTTCAGATGGTGAGTATCTTCCTTGATATCTGATATCAACTCAAGACGCCTAAGTGTTGACTTAAAATGTTAGCTTACAACTTTGGCAAAGTTCACAAGCAGGAGTTATGGAGCACTGTATTGCTAAGATGTTCTTTTTTATATAAACATCTATATTTTGTGTACATTTTTTCCGCAGTAATAAAACAGTGAAATTTTTCCGTACATGTTTATAACTAGCTAAGGTCACTTTCAGATACAATTTCGTTGCATTTGATACTAATTCTTTACGCTAATAACCCTCTTATTTCTCGGAATGCATGCCATTGTCTAAACACAATTAGAGGTAAACAGATCCCGATTTCTTCTAGGAAAGTAGAATGTGTTTTGAGACACCCATTCTAAAGGGCGCTTTTTCGCTAGTCAACATGCTGTTTGGTTAAGTTTTCGGTAAATATGAGTGTTATAAGCTATTCCTTTGAAGCAAGTCACTGCATATAGATGTACTATGTTTGACATCTGTATTCAAATAGACACAATCTCCGAAATACAGATATCCAACTAACATAGAATTAGTAGTTTTAAAGGTATGGTCATTAAGTCAACGATGTTCATCCACTTTAGGCTTGGGTTTTCCAAAAAAGTGAACTAGAAAACAAGGGCACAAATATTTCTTCGACACATTTATCACTCTAAACTAGATGGACTCGCAGATGATTTCACATTACAACTACAGTTTAATTTTACTTCACCACGAATCAGAAATGTGGAGCTAATTTATTCTCGTTTTGACCTCGAATACCTTAGGATATTAAAAATTTTTACTAGGAAAGTTAAAAAGTATGTAACTAAGCAACATGGTTTCCGTGACAGTATTCATGAGAGATATATGTTAGCCAGACTAAGGGAGTACTGGATACCAGTTTCTCCCTCCGGGCTCGGACTATCCCTAACCAAGCACCAGGAGAATTATCCTGGTAAAGACTCATGACAAAGCTTTCAGATCTCGCAACCAGCACTTGACGCAAACGTAGAAATTAAAATAGATTTGCCACATTTTTCAAATCATGCTCAGTAGTACATTCTCATTAGAGTTATGTGCGGTCAGACTTATTTCAGTGGATATTTTTATTTTTATTCCCTGACAACTGTAAGCTAAAAAGATGTCCAAAGTTGGCTGATTGCTATCGAAGTTTATATTTTTTTCTCAAAAAGTTTCAGAAATCAACTGTTTTATATTTTTTTTGGCACCTTATGAATAAGTCGTACTGTAATTATACTGGTAAATATATTGTAATTAAACCCGAGAATTTTCAGTGATCTATCACTTCATTAACTACTTCGCATAGGAAGTTATTGTATACAATATCTGCAGTGAGTACGTTTGCGAGATGAACACTAAGTGGTTACTAATAATTTGGATCTTTCAGTCAATTCATAATAATATATATGTACATTGACTTACATTTGGAAAAGTTGAAACATTTGTAAATATAGCAACAAGAAATTACAAGTATCAAACAACAGCAACTGATGCCCGTTGCACACATAGTGGCTATCGAAACCCAGTGACCGAGGGGATAACGCTTTGGCGTTTGGAGTGATGGGTGATGGTTTTGAGTCTCAGCAGGAAGAATATCACGCACTGGAGTGCAAGCACATCCAGCTGATGAGTCCTAAATAGGACGAAACGTCTTTCCTGGATTCCACTTACAGTCACCAAGATGAATGCAACATCGATAAATAAAGCTTATATATGAGAAAAACTGTTTGTACTTATAGTTTGTGATACCTGAAAAATATGCTGTTTCATGTCAAATAATATTCATAATTTCCTTGTCATCCTTGAATCTTATCATCAACTAGCAGTTTTAATTTCAAATACAGTTATATCGTTGTACAGTTACTATCCATTGGAATGTTTGCTAATTTTATCGATCACCTAAAAGCCGTTCTCAGAGGTCAAAACAGATCATTAGTTATTTCCGCTATCATTAGATTAGTTACGCTCACTTGTGTTGATGCGTTTAACAGACAATTAGCAGTCTTACTGAATGCTATAAAGGGATCATTAAGAACTAACTGATTGACATACTGAAGACAAACTGCATTACTAATCACCTGAGTAATTACTAGAGAAACCTAACCTATAAAACTGATTACATGAAAGATTTAAAGGTTGGAGTATACAATTAGAGGTCATAATAAGAAAGTCACTACGGTAGTAAAATATGATACTTATGCTTTGGTTGAATAAAACAGTTTCGATAAAAAGCAGGCACGAAAAAACCTTATACTATTTTAATATTAATAATAAGATTTAATAATAACATTACTAAAAAAATGAAGTTTTATAATTCTTTTTCGACATAGAGCATACAATTATTCTTTATTAATGTGAAGATATTACTGAGGGTAGTGACCATACTTTCACCTCAAACAACTCTCCAGATAATCGCACCTTATACATTACCTCTTTTCCGTCTAAGACAATAGTGAAAAAGGAGTGAATATAAATCCTTATTTCCCCCGAATTTATTTGATTTATTATAAAGACTAGTTGACTGTTGGATGTCAGTGATTATTTGACTATGAACCTAGAAACAAAGTTTTGCAAATTATTTAAAACACTTTACCTAGTTTCAAATGAAGCGCTTTGACAGTGCTGATCTAAGGACTTTGACCGAGTCATAAGAAGAAGAATTCTTGATTGAATGACCACGTTAGCGGATATTAAGAAATTATTAAAGGCACAAATTTAGGGTAAAACGGCTACTCTAGTTTCAATAGACGCTATATTTGACACTGTTTGTACATTTTATATACTTCTAGTTGATTATCCTAATCGATATTAAAAGAATTCCTTATTTTATGTTCATCTACTAAATCTGTATTGCAGTTGAAATCAATGCACTTCCAAAGTATTGTTGCTATATTGTACTAATGAAGCCGGAAGGCATGATTATTAATCAACTCTTCGTTCCTTTCGGCCACCTGTGGATTTAGATCTCAACATAAAACGGTCATTCATTTGTCTTCGTTTATCATCCCTAAATGTATCACTCCATTTACTGATTAGATATAGCGTGATTTGAAACTCTGAATCCTTAATTTTAAAAAACAACTTACTTCAATATTCATTTCTTTTTGATATAAAACTCTGGATAGTTCTGTCATCCATCCACAGAAAAATGGTACAAAGCCAGCACGATGTGAACGATACTGTAGTGTGATGCCTGTCTTACTCTCATTCACACAAAAAAAAGACGGTGGTTTGATTTTTGGGTAACTTGATCGTAGAAATTCATGTAAGTTATCTAAACCATTCAGAAAATCACGTAGCTCACGACCAAGTACTCTTAATATCCCATGATATCCTTTACCGCCAACATATTCAACAAATGTTACACCCATGCCAAACTTGATATCATCTATGGGTTCATTCAGTATACTTGCGCTTATCTCAAACAATTTTGGCAGTAAAGTTTCACTATAAATTTTTCGTGTTTCGAATTGTGTATCAGACAAGTCAGTATGTTTACATATTTCCATCCATAGTTCCGAAGACCATTTAGTGACAATAAAGTTACGTAATCCTTCCAACAGTAAACCATACATTGTGTTTCTTTATTATGTATGCAGGGTTATATGCAAAGATAAAAATAATTTGAAATACGGTCACTAAACAACAATACAACTGATATTTATTCCATTTGCTGTCACAGGAATTAGGTTCAAATGTTTTTGTATGAAGGAAGGCGAATGGAAACTCTACGATAAGGTGGAATAGCATACATAAGCATCATTTCACTAAGTTCTGTTGGATCATAGGGTTTCGAATTTATGAGTAAATGCAAAAATATGGCGTAGATAGTAATTTGATCAAGTGTATCCAATTCAGTATTCAAGAGGGTGAATAAACTCTTACATTTGTAACTGGAGATGAAAAAATAATAGTAGTCAGTGAGATATGAGTAAAATATATTCTCTAGATAACTTATTTTGAATTGTATTTATCTTTCTTTCCTTAACAACTAAATTTTCATCCAGTCAAAAATGTTCGAATGAAAGGGCGATAAATCCGAATGGCTAATTAAGTCAAACTTCTTCTCTTGAGATTTTCTATTTCCAAATTAGTAATATCGAATAATTGCCGAGGTAATTGCATTTTAAATATATGAACATAGGTGGTGTTTGACTGTGTGTGTGTGTGCACATGAAAGATATTTGCTTCTAGATATCAACTCTTCCCACTAAATATATGTCTTGTTCAATTTTCAACTCCATTCAGCATTTCAGCGTCTGGTGATTATCACTAAACAGTATTGGCATCATCGAATGTGTATATACAGTGACACTTTGAAGAATGGGATTTCTATCTGAAATGTTGGACTTCTCTTTCCTTTTGCACTACTTGGTTGGCCTTAATTCAGGATATGTTATAGAACTAAACTTGGTATTTACTACTAATTATCAGTAATATGTCTTAAGACATCACGAAAAGTTATGCATCTTGTGAAAATTAGACTTCTGACTTGTAAACGACCACAATAAGGCAGTTTATTTTCAACTTGCCAAATTTTTTTCTTTAGCTCTAATCAAGCTATTTTATGAAGACTATCGACAGGTATTTTCTTTCTGATTTCTTTGATGCTCAAATGCAGTATTGAGTATTGACACTTGAAAGTGTTTATACAGTAATAAGATGGATCTCGTAGTTCAAAACGGAATTTGTCTATCAAATGCAATAAAAACAAAGAAATGCTTAGAATTACTGGTGCTCAATGTGATGTTTTAGTCTAATTTACCTATTAGGAAAGTCAAGACCTTACTTTTAGCACTCCTATCGGCCCCATCCGTTCACCTTTATTCTGTCCCCGATTTCTTTACATTTTCACGAATACACAATACCGCAGTTTCGCTTCCCCATCCCCACCGTTGACTTTGTGGTTTGCATAGAGCTGACTATTACAAATATAAAGATTTTAGCTGTATAAACAGTTTTTTTATGGATCGAGCTTGCTGAAATTATTTTATGGCTGATTATTTAGATTGATAGCGTGGCCAGTCACCTGTGGTCTTTGATTCCCACTGCGACTGCAATTTTTTTCTTATGAAGATGCCACAACAAATATTTGTTTTGCTTTCTTTTTTTCTTTTCGCATTTATAACAGCACACATTCCTTGGTCACTGAAGAGTAACCAGTTTCACGTTACTCAGTCCCAAGTGCTGATCTAGTTCTATCAATCCCTTCTTTATGATGTAGTCACCAGGATAGGAAACTCACCATCGCAGTGTACTTTAACTAATGCTAGTTGCTTGGTAGGGACCGACAGAAAGTCTTGCGCTTAAGTTTCGTGCCTGTTAGTACGCTTTAACTAGGTGTCTGCATCTCCAAGAGAATTGATGACCCCTTTTGAGGACTAGATAACATGAAATTCATTACGCTTCACTGGTCAGTCAATCCGTGTAATCGAGTCCTACAAAAGGTCAGCCACTGATCTTTTGGTCCTGGTGGTAACCTCTCTAACTGCAACACTGCGTGAGGTGAGTCTGAATCCCTGAATAGAAAACCAGTTGTCTTGAGGTTGCAGGTATGTCTAGCTTATAAGTACTAGCCAGTTTGAAATCTAGACGACCTTCAAAAAACTAATACCAATTATAGTAGCACATTTACGAACAAACACTACTATTATTATAACAAACTTCTGAAGTTTATTAAATGTCACTTATTCTGGGTTGATATGTTCCCATTTGTGCTACTCACCAGCAGAAGAACTCATTACTAGTTTCCTTGAGTACCACAGTCATAAACAATATGACACAGAACAAGATTATATTCTATAGTCCATATTAACATTGATTCACACGTAGCTAGTGTGTACTTTATGAACATGCAAATCCACATATCTTAAAGTCAATTTCCAATCTTATCAATTAATATTTTGTCATGAGTAGTCAAATATTACTTTCAAATAAATTATACACACTTTGAACATGAATACACGAACAAAACTGATAGATCGTTGTTCTATTGATTTCCACATATATATATATATATATATATATATATATATATATATATATATACAGCACAAACTTGTGCACGTGTTCAAATGAATACAGAACACACGATTTTGTACTTGTACGCAGAATATGAAAACCTTCAGGCAAACTACATTTAAAAAATATTAACTGGTTTTGAGCACATTGGAGAAACAGACACAGACGGACAAACATGAAGAGACTTATTTATCTTCATTATGACGGTAATAGGTTTTATAATTGTGGTAGTAATATGATATGAACACATGACTTGAATCATAAGCCAATCAAAATAACAAGTTACCATTCGATTTTTAAGAAAAGATTACTAAGTTCGTCAAAACAAAAATTTATGAATTTAAACAATTTTGAAAAGATCCTGTTAGCTGTAAGTTCAAAGAAGTGTTCATCGTTTCAACGTACTTTGTAGCGTGATGATTCATGTAAACCGGATGTTTTGTTGAAAATTTGAATCTATTCAATGAATGAAAAAGGTTTCAAACTGCTTTGTTTAGCACTATGCACCGATCATAATTCTGTATTGATTTCAGTAGAACTCTAGTGCCAATCTTCAACACTAGATTCTGTGTGATTTCATAAACGTTTGACCGTGTAATTAAATCATCCAATTCATGTTTTCAAATTCTTAACAGAGGTAGAAACAGAGTTTACTCTGAAAGGTATGTTAGTCTAGATCAACTGACTTGAATAATTTGCCATTTTGTTTAAACTTGTTTAAGTACTTAGTAATACTCACCAGTGAAGAGATTTACAGCAGTCAGATGCAACAAAACCATGTTCCTAACTCTCGAAACCATGATCAGGATTTTATAAATCATCTAAAAATATTTTGTTTGGTCTACTGTATATAAAACAAACATTTTAAATCTTAATTTATTACTACCGAACGGTTGGTAGTCTGAGGTAAAAATGCATCCACTAAATCTGAGTATGTTTTTCAGACGATAAGGTTAGGTCATGCCTAAATCGGGAGTCATTTTGTTTACTATCTGCCGGAAAGGTGCATCTAAAACTGCAAGATAAGTGGTGCTTTCCCAGAGGTTTTGCCCTGATCAACCTAATACTTCAGTTTCATGAAGTTGCCGCTGATGTATTTCTAAGATGATTTACTTAGTCCCTGCATACTTTAGATATGACGGTGATTCGTTGCAGATACTTTTGCCACGCTATTGGTGACACTACTTTCTTCATTATATTTTTTTTAAGTGAAAGCGAACTGACGTTATGCAAACCACAAATACTAAGAGGTATCAAAATACATGATGTTAGTCTCTCTCGGATTATTAATCTGTTTTTAATAGTTTCCGTAGTAATTTTTGGCATGATATTTTCCACATATCTCTCATCAAATTTTGGTAATACTTCTGAACTTCAAAATGTATCAGTCTCATGAGTAAAGTTAAATATTTTCATATTACATTTTATTCCATGAATGTCTCTCAGTGACAATTAAGGACCAACCCCAGAGATGAATTAATTTTCGCTCTTTGAGGAAAACTAATGAGTTGAAATGAACTGTATTTAAGTCTATAAATGCTATTTCCAATTTACATGTTAATAAGTTAGACTTCAAAATTCAAAAAAAGTACATATATTTTCCAAGTGATAAACTTCTTTCTTAAGTTTGTGGTAATGACTTTATCAAGAATGACTATGAAAAGCTTCACGATGAACCATTTAGCTAAAAGAACACAACATCAAAAACTTGACCTTTTTATGAACTCATGCATGTCATTTATTTTGCTGTCTTTCTATCCCCTAATTGTTTACACTACCTCACTTACTGCCTTTTTAACCTTCATTTTCATGATCAAGATTAAAGCTGGTTATTTACTCAGTCTTAGTTAGCACAAAGAAGGTATAAAAGCGGTATGAATAAACCTAGGAGTGGGTTCTATTGGATGGAGTTCTTTGATTTCAGAACTGTATGAATTGGTAATTGTGTTTAGACAACGTCACAGTGGTCATTAGTTATAGCTTGGTCCGTTAACTCATTACTTCAGGTCCCTGAAAAGCGAAACTGATTATAGATAGACACAAGATAACCATTCAATGCATCCAAAGCTTTCACAATGATCAAAAAACAAAAGACCTTAAGATTCACTTCGATTTGCTAGTGCTTTAACCATTAAACAAATCCTAACCAAATTAATTGTTTAGAAGAAAATGGTGGTCAGTTTCTTGTTGACTAAGTAGTGATTTACTAATCCTAGAGAAATTCCTTACACTTTTCTCAGTCTTCAAATCTGTCTCCTTCCAGTCTGACTCTGAAACTTCATTATCGTCATAGTTATAAGATTTACTTGTCTCATCCATTTACCATTTTAATTCACCTCACTTTCATGCATTTCCGTCACTACCTTGATTTCTTTTGACCATTTGACAAAATTCATCGATTCGTCTTACAAATGCTTATCTAGATTGATTGGATCCAGTCTCATGATAATGTTTATTATTTCGTTCGCTACGCCTCGTTCTCAAAACGCTATCTAATATCTCAAAAACCTACACATTTTTGATTTTGTACTCTGATTATACAGTTGTATATTTGGACTACACTCAATAGATTCAAAACCAACGGAACAAAATGAATTCATGTTTTTCTGTGAATACTGTTCTGATTCCATTAATCAAGCTTATAAAAGGAATTAGATTTTTGAGATCCCTAATACCTTCAATAACGCTTCAACAGAAAAAGTTTCGACTAAGATTTTGACTATCATTGACAGAAACGTGACTTAAGAGATAATCTGTAATTTATTCTACGCACAAGAAGAGGAAGAAATCACGTTCAAGTATTTTTATGAAATACTTTTTATCCTATTGTTTATCCATACTGAAAAAGTCTACTCTATGTTTCCATTCAGCCTTAAACTCTGTTCTAACCTGTATTCGTGATTCACTTGACAGTAACCAATTTCATGTTGTCTATACCTAAGCACTAATTGGTTTGGAGGCAACTGGCTGGAAGCCTTAGACCTAGGTAGATGCTACTTCTCAACAAGGCGTATCTACAACCTCGAGAGAATTGATGTCCCCTGTAAGATTTGAACCCATATCACTCAATATTGCAGTAGACGTTACCATTGGGATATTCACGTGGCACTTCACCTCTTGTAGGACTGAGTTAGATACAGTGACTGCTCACTGAGAAGCAAGCAATTTCATGTTGTCTGGTCCTAAGTACTGATCAGATTCCATAGATCAGTGCTAACAATTGTACTGATCATTTTCTAATGTATTCGCCGAGCTGCTAACTCACATACGTGTTGTGCTTTGACTGGTGCTGCATGGCCGAAGGTTAGTGGTACTCATCCTTGGACCTAAATTTCGTGTTTGTCGGTTAATTACACTGCCTTTCTAAAATATGAAAACCTAATACTAAACACAATTCAGGCATACAGTCCTTGGATCCTACATCCGAAATAAGCTGATCTTTCGTTTCTGTTGTTTTTTGTTTTACCTATGCATATCATTATGATGTGCCTCATTTCCTTCTTCAGGACTTGTTCTGATTGGATAAAATCTCTGTTTGCTGTCACCAGTGACATTATGCCAAGTACTGAGTATTTGTGTTCATGTAATTGACCCAAACTGTTCTCGTCCTCCCACCAAAAATCTGTTTCTAAAGGTGTTCTAATGACTTAATAGCTGTCTTCTCCGTCTATACCTTTTACTCAACCACTTCTCTCAACTGGATCCACTTCTGAATTTGGTGGATACATACATATTTGTTTGTCTACTTACTAAGTTTCGTAATCCATACTGAGCCTTTCTGTGATGAATTGTGATCCTTCCCACCTTGAGATCAGTTTTCCCGATCCTAAACGTCTGCTTGTGCTTTGAAGTTTCTTTAGCGATTGGATTGGTTTTACGGGGTAGGGCTGTCAGCCCTACGCCCAACCTTCCCTCTTTACCCGGGCTTATGACCGGTTAGTAACTAGTGAACTAGTTAACCAGCTGAGGTTTAAATCTGAGAGCACTGGAAAGTTGTTTCTTCCTAGCATGGGACTCAGCAGTACGCACTGACGACCCGGCTAGGGATCGAACCCAGGACCTTCAGGTTTCACGGCGAACGCATTAACCATCCAGCCACTGGGTCGGAAAGTCAGTGTGGAGATCTTCTGCACTCACCACAAAGCGTGAACAACATCCGGAGTTTCAACACCAATTCAGTCAAGTCAGTGCTTCTGTGTGATGCGTCAGAGACATGGCGCCTTACGAAATGCATTCCCAACTAACCACAGACATTCATCAACAACTGCCACCCACGCTGGCTTGTTACTGAAGATCAGATGGATTGCCAGACTAGTAAGAATAAGCAACAAGGAACTCTCGACTGGAAAGGAAACAACCAACAACCTATCGCTCAACAAATATGCAGTTGAAGGCAGTGGAGATGGATTGGGTCGGGTATACAGTGAGAAAGCCTACTGGGGACATCACGCGTCAGGTCAGTTGCTCGAGTGGAACCCCGATGGGAAGTGACGAGTTGGGTGTACGAGGCGAGGGTGACTTGGAGGAGATGGTGCGAGGAGGAACTGAGAGCCTGTGGGTTGTCGTGGAGCCAGGTTGAAAAAATTTCAGAGGACAGAATGGAGTGGAGATGTGCTACTGATGCCCTATGTTCCATTAGGAACCCAAGGGATAAATAATAAAATAATAATAAACTGCTGCCTGAGGTGTACTTTTATCCTCTACAACTGACCTGACCTAGGTTCCTTTTCGCACCTTTTCTCTGCTCTGATCTCACAATATATACTATTTTCTTCTCTTCTATTTCCACTCAGAGTCCAACCTTGTTATCCTCCATCTGTGGTGCTGCAACGAGGTGTTGTCATATGTTGTTGATCATGGTAGCTTACCTTACATCAGATGGAAGAGCGAGTTCTCGGTTCTGTACATGGAGACACTAGGTGCTAACAAAATTAACGGCAATTCTCTCCCCCAGTCATTACCCTTTGAGATCAACTAATCCTTCTATCTACGGTTGTTCCTTTCTGACAAAACCTATTCATCTGTTGGTAATATGAGATATTCTGTACCGCCTTAATATCTAGCCATCTCAAACATAATTTGAATTCCTCACTCTCTAAACAGGGACCTTCATTCATTAATGTCACTTTGTCACTTCTGAATTTGCCACTGTTTATCGTATGAACATCTCAGTCACCATTTTCGCACACTGATTTTCAATCGACGTGGAGGCTATTCAACGTGTAGCATGCCCTGTCAACGCCACCAGGTACTATTTGCCTCTAGATATCCATTTAATGTTCATTCATGAAATCTTTTGACATAGCTTTCTTGAAGTTCTAGTGAGAAGCAATAACGTGTGGGATCAACTAACTCTAGTTTGAGTACAAATACTCGCCGATGGCACTAGATGACGGTCGCTCTATTTTGAAAATTGACAAGAGTGGGTATAAAAATGTGGACGTTTAGATTCCGACTCAGTGGCTGGATAGCAATGAGCTCTCCGCGAGACATGACAGTCTGGGCTCCAATCGCGTATGGGGTTGTGGTGCGTTGCTGGGGTGTTTCACACTAAGATGAAACAGATTTTAGGTGCCTACAGGTTTCCAGGAATTCTCTATCTGATGTTAGCCCATGATGAATAATAATTTGAAATCCTTGTCTTCTTACTACTTTGTATAAA